TCCGAATGAACACCTGCCTCAATTGAGCTTGGAGTTTGAGAGCTAGTAGCATTCTGCTGCTGCTGCGGAGTAGTATTTCTGAAACCTGAATTGTAACTGAAATTCGAATTGGGGTTTATCGATTGAGGGGTAAATTCATCAAGGGGTTCAAGTTTCGGCTCAATTTTAGGGAAAATCATGGTGGGTGTTGGAGTTTTCGGTTCAGTAGGGAAATTAACGTCTTCTAATCCAACAACAGAACCCACTTCCATAGAAAAACAAGAAAACTCAAGAAGAATTTATAGCTTTTTAACACAAATTAGCTCATGTAAGAAGAAAAATTTGAGAGAATTTAGGGTTTTTCAGAGAAATATTGAGATTTCTCCATAGAAATGAAGAAGCCAGAGGATTTGTCTGAAAGAGAAAATAAAGGAATCTTTTTATCTTTATTATATTATATATATAAAAAAAATCTATTTTTAAATGTACTTTTTTTTTCGAATTTAAGCATCGAATTAGAAAATAAAGAAATATTATTTATTTTATTTAAAAGAAAAAAAATCAAATGTATTCGTGCTCTTATAATTAAAAAAAATAGATGAAATTTAATTTTTCCTTATTTTAAGAAAGATTATCTTGATTCGGTTAGACGAGAGTGAAAGTGATTAATATTATGAATTTGGACAGTTTTTGTAATAAAATGTATATATTTAGAAACTACATATAAGGTATTATAAGTCACAATAATTAATAATTTGAAATATTTAGAAAGTATTTTTGTAAAATTATGATTAAAGAAAATATTCTTTAATTGTTCGAACAGTAACTAAAATACTTGAATTGGAGCGGAGAAAATATTAGCTATTAATGCAATTAAATTTAAAAAAATTAAGGGTATATCAAAAATTAAAATACTAAACGACATTTAAAATGGAGCGGAAATAGTAATTGATCCTTCGATTAAAAGTAAAGGGTTGAGTCTTTTTAAAGGGGAAAAAGAATGTCTATAAGTTTTAACTTTTAATTAGGAGATATATTTTTTTGTATGTATCATATATATTTTGTTTATATTTTTTGCTTGTATAAAATTAAAAGTTTACTCAAAATGATAAAAGAAATTACCTTTTCTTTTATTGTTGAGTTGAATTAAACTTCAATATGAATATCAAACACTATCGTATCCCTTTCTAAAGAAAAACACAATTCTTCTCAACTGTCATATTTACTTAACTACATATTTCAATTTATTATAAATTTATTTATAATTTTTAATAAATTATTTATATTAAATATTTTTACAATATAAATATATTAGTTAATTTAAAATTATTAAATTCAGTTGAATTCATAATTTTTTTGGTCACCCATTATGCACATGTCACTAGAAAAAGCACCCAACAAAACAGGAATTAATTCTAGTTATGTGAGGTTGCTCTCCTTGTTACATGTGCCTAGTGGGTGACACAATTTATGTGCAGTGTTGGTACTTTTCACCAAGGATAACTATAACTTTTTCTATTTATTTATATTTGTTAGTCTTGAATTTTGCACGTCCATTAAAAAATAATAATTAATTATAATACTATATTAATTAGTACTATTTAGTTTTAAATATCAAGAAATAATTTGGGAAATAAAAATTAGTGCTGAGACATAGAAAAAAGGATATGTATAAGTCAGTTTTGTAAGGTATACCAGCTCTAAATCGTAAAGTCGAAGGATATATTAAATTATTTTTCCTAAAAAGAATAATGTTTTTCTTTTAATATATTAAACACGATAAATAAAAATACAAATATATTTTTAACGTGATGAACAAATAAAAATAAACTTAAGAATAAATTGACTTTTAAGTACACAAATTATGTTTGAGAAGACAAATAAAAACATAAAAACTAACCAAAACAAAGGAAGAATTCAAAGTTATTTGCATCTTGATTTTATGAGTTAATTCCTTAAATGGTCACCCAAGTTAAGAGAATTGCCTTGAAATATCATTTATGTTTCATTTAGGACCAAAATATCACTTAACTATCCCTATTTTCCTCCAAATATACTTGACACTTCAAAAGCATCACTCTCTCCTAGTTGGCATGACATGTCATTAAAGTCTTTTCTTTTAACAATAGACTAATTTGATTCATTAAACCCATATAACTAAAATAATGATCATATTATTTTGAAAAAAATATATTAATAGTTTATTAAGAATAAATCTTCATACTTAAGAATCTTTTATTATAATTAAACTTTTTATTTTTTTATGTTATGAAGAATAGGTTTTTAAACGTATTATGATATCATCAATTTTGAATACTTATAAACATATACATTAAAAAAAAAATCGATAAACATATCACTTATGAATGCTAACTTACATGAATTAATCATAAAATTTACAATGAATCAATAATATTAAATGTTAATTAACTATTACAATAAAATTAATTGTCTATTTTGAAATTCATGCTTACAATATTTTTTTCTTGAAAAAAAAGTAAAAAGTAAATAATATTATTACTGTTTTTTATCAAAAAAATAAAATAAATTCTAAATATCTCAAAAGTCTCCTTCTATTCTAGTTGATATATCATGTTATTAAATCATCATTTTAAAAAATAATAGACCTAGTTGACTCATCAAACTTATGTCTCTACAAGGTAAATATATAAATTACATGAGAATTTATGAAGATTATAAAAAAGGTTAAAAAACTAATTGCTTATTTTTTTTACCAAACAAAATTCAATGAAAAAACTTTGTATGCAATTATTACTTGGTAATTTTTAAAATCCCTAAGTAAATTATTTGAAAATTTTAAGCAATTTTTTTTTATAAAAGTATTCAAATAAATTTGTAAGGTTGACAAGAAAGTTGGTGAAAGAGAAAATTATTATTTATTTTTTTAAAATTTAATTTTGTATTCTTATTCTTGCTATATTATATTATATTTTAACTTATCATACAAATTAAACACCAATATATATTCTCATCTCATCCCAAATTCATGAAATACAAGTAATAATTAATTGAATTGCCTATTTTAATTCAATAATATACATATTATATGAGATTAATATACAGATAAATAAAGATCAAAATTTTATTTTTAATATAAATATTATTCACTTTCTATTTTCTTTTCAAAAAAAGATCTTGTAAGTATGGATTTCAAAGTACCCAATTAATTATTTTTAGTAGTTAATTGACCTTTAATATTATTGACCCATTATATAATATATGATTAATTGATGTAAGTTGACATTCATGTGTGATTTATATATCAATATTTTTTGAATATATGTGTTTAAAAGTATTCAAAATTGATGACATTATAGTAAGTTTAAAAAAACTATTCTTCATTGCATAAAAAAATAAAAAAAATAATTATGACAAAAGATTCTTAAGCATGAAAATTTCTTCTTAATAAACTAATATATACTTTTTAGAAAATAATAAGATCATTATTTTAGTTAAATGAGTTTGATGAATTAAATAAGTCTATTCTTAAAAAAAAGAAAGATTTAATGACATGGTATGCCAAATAGGAGAGGAGTGAGGCTTTTGAAGTGTCAAGTATATTTAGAGGAAAATAGGGATAGTTGAGTGATATTTTGGTCCTAAATGAAACATAAATGATATTTCAAGGCAATTTCCTAAACTTGGGTGACCATTTAGGGAATTGACTCTGATTTTATATATTATTTTTTATTAGGAGGTATTCTTTTGTACTTTTTTGGGATACTCAATAAAAAAGAATAATCTACTACTTGTAAATAAATAAATAATTTTTTTATAACTTTTTAATTTCTTTTTGGAAAATTACTTGGCTAGGGACCACTTGCCTCTTAAGCCGGGAAAAATTTTAGTTGTCATCTCAGTTGGATTTGAAATTTCAGATTTTTGGCTCCAAATTTTGAATAAAGTGAAATTTTCGTATTGTATTTTGAATTTTTTTGCAAAAATTCTGTAAATTGAAATGGTCTGAAATTTGAAAGTAATCTCCTCGATAATCGGTTATATTAAAATAATAATGATATCTCATATCATCGTGTTTAGATTGACAATAAAGTTTCATTAAATTTAAACCATCAAAGAGGTTATTAGCAATGTGAATGATATATGTATATTGGATTTAGAAAGGAATCGAGCTCGCTTTCTTTCTATAGAAAAATGTTAACTGAGAAGATGAAAATCACCGTGGTCTTGCCTAGATCGGACGTCACTTTTACATTTATTTGCTTTGTTGAGACTTGTGTGAAGACTTTTATGTCAGAACAAAATCGTTCTTATACTCAGAGTAGTTTAATCTCATAGTTATGTGACTTTTGACTATTGTCTTAATACAATCTAATCTAAAGGGAGAATTTTCTTATATATGAATTTATGTGAAGATATTGAGCTTTTATAACTTTAGTTTTACATATATTGAAGTGTTAGCTTATACATATTACATAGTACGTGGAGTAATATATATATTGATGTTGTAGATTATAGTAATCAAAGAATAAATAATACATACTACATAGTATCGATCATACGCCAGGTGACAACTAGGGACAACAAAATCATTTATTTTGAATTACACAAAAAAAATGAGATCTAGGGAAAAGAATTATCTATCTTTACGTATGTTTGTTGAACACAACAAATACCTGGTGAAATATTTGATGTGCACGTACATTCATGTCTATGGTTAGTCGAGTTAGTTTTAACACAGGTGCACGTATCCTTTGTCATGACTCGAACATCACCACCACCACCATCGCCAACATATTCAATGAAATCTTCTCACAAGTGAGATCATGGGAGGATAAAAAAGTTGTTTCAGACTCAAAAACCAACATTATAAATAAAAATTTCATCCATCTGTCATTGATACAAACCCGTCATATACAAATTGTACCAACTACCAACAATGTAGAACATATTCTTTCCAAACCATTTTATTATGTGCGGTTGGTTGAATACGAAATTTAAGAAAGAAAGAAAAATATTTGAAATTTGTGATGTAAAACAAGTCATAAACAGACCTTTGCATCATCACTCATGGCTTCCTTTTCATACTCGAGGCGAATTCCCCAGCACACTTCCACCGACCAGTACAGTTGAGAAACCTCCAACATGTAATAATCATTTGGGTTATTCCCTTGTTTATTGCCAGAAGCATTCCACAATGTTTCAAATGGTATGTAGACGCAACAAATGAAATGATCCTTGAATCTCGAATATCCAACGATGCCGTAAGATATTCTTACATGGTCAGATTTGCAGACCAACGTAGCTTCTAATATTGTATCCAGTCTAGTAGGACCGTAAGTTATCCAAAAACCCTTGAATTTATCGGTATACCAAGATGGGTTCAGATCAATTGAGATCTCTTTTTGATTTATAAACAGACAATCATAATCAAACAACTCTGGAATTCTAACTTGATTGGGAAAAGAAATGACAAAATAATCCCTTTGATGGAAGTCACACTGCATGCAATAGAATAGAGATTATTATTACTACTAGAAATCAATCAATTAGACGAGAAAATTCAACATTCAAATATGAGATAAAAACCTGGATGCATGTCGTGAGAAAATGGTGTAGGAACACATTAACTTGTTCACTTGAGACGGCTCCACAGTTGGATATTACGAGCCTATACAGCTTAAGACAATTAATTACGAGATCTCTGATGCTCTTCAAGGCTAAATGATAATCTGCAAATAGCTCTTCTAAATTTGGGGGTAGCTCTCCTGGCAGTTCATTAAGATTCTCACAGAATTGTATGTTCAGATACTCAAGGTGGAAGAGTCCTTTGATGTTTTTTGGTAAACAATAAATATTGCTTCCACTTACATCCAACTCTCTCAAATAGTGCAAACATCCTAATTCCTCAGGAAGTCCACCCATGCCTAAAATGTTCAGTTCCCAAAGCTTGGTGATGGAGGGAGGTAGTTGAGTTATTGCAGTTTTGCTTGCATCAAGTATATATAACTCTTGCAAATCACCAATGTTTTCTGGAAGCTTCTCTAGCTTTTTGCAACCTTTGAGTAAAAGACGACGAAGATTCATCAAATTACAAAGGCTGTCTGGTAGACTTACAAGATCTTCACAACCTGTAAGATTTAGCTCAGTGAGGCTGCTCAGATTCCCAATGAATGAAAGCACTTGTCTTATCCCAGTAGAATTCAGAGTCAGTTGTGTCAAGTAATGCATATCTCCATTGATTTCTGGAAATGTATCTAATTTTGGAGAATCAGATATCATGAGTCGTTGAAGGGATTCCATCTGAATAGAGCTTGGAAGCTTCTTTAATTTCTCACATCTACATATATCTAACGAACGGATCTTCTTTTGAACTCCAAAAGATATGGGGAGCTTTATTAATCCAGAACATTGGTCTATATCAAGATATTCCAATTGCTGTGATTCAAAGAGGCTGTTTGGCAGTGTTGCAAGTTTATTGCAACCTGAAATACGGAGAGTTCTAAGATTTTGAATAGCGTCCGGAATACTTTCAAGAAATTCACAATTAGTCAATTCCAAATGTTTAAGGCTGTTGAAAGACGGGGGTAAGTTTCTTATCCACGGGGATCCAACATAGAGTATTGATAAGCGCGGCATATCTCCACAGATTTCTGGAAATTCTTGTAAGCTTGTGCATTCAAGGAGATAGAGAGTCTCAAGAGATTCCATGCAGACAAATTTTGGAAGCTTCTCAAGTTTGTGACAATAAGACAACCTCAAAAAAGTAAGCATTCTGCAATGTCCAAGAGAGGGATGGATCTCTTCCAAATTCACACACCCATGTAAATATAATGTCTCCAAGATTGGCATATCAGAAAAATTAGGGGTTTTTGTTAACCCAAGGCTTTCGCTTAGATCCAAATGCTTCAAATTTCTCAATTTCTGTATTCATTTTTTTTTAAAAAAACACAAAAAACTAGTTAACTCGAGTAGTACTCCTAATAGAAATATTTTATGGGAAAAAAAATAAAGAGAAGAGAAGGTTGTTATGATCATTGAAGGCTGTAGAAAATGCGGAAAAGAGGGAGCCCCAAGTAACTTTATCAACCAAAGCTAGAACAAATGGAAAGAAATCACCTAGGGGTCATTTGGTAGAGTGTATAAAAACAATGCTCAATAGAGTGTAGTAGTAATACTTGTATTAGTTAAGTATAGATTATTTTTTATGCATTGTTTAGTTTGATGTATTAAAAATAGCATGCATTGTATAAAAATATTTATTTACAAAAATATCCTCCACAATTATGGTGGAAAAGATGAAAAAGTGCTTTGAGGGGTAATTGGGGCTTTAACCATGCTAATGCATGTATTAAATACCTTTGCATTACTAATACCTAAAAATCCATGGTTTCAGTAATACATTCCACTAATACAAGGATTTGAACCTGAGATCGCATAGTGCTCAATCCACTTCTTTGACACCTAGTACACACCCTTGGGTGCGCTTGCAAGTTCTTTATTAGGTAGATATAATTGCAAGAAGTAAATTACTATACAAAAATATTTTACATCATGACTGTGATGAGGTACTTCATTTATATCGCGAATGTCAACAAAGTTAGGTTCCACCTAAATATGTTGAAGATTTAATTGGGACAAGAAAGCTGATGGAAAGAGAGAGGGAGAGATTATATGTTTGATTTTGTGATGAAGTTTGTGTGATATACTTCAAGTGATTGATAACCAAAAATAAATAAAAATTTGGTGTTAATTGTGTACATCAGAACATTTATTTAAAGTAGCATTTAAATCATGGATGGATTAATTTACATGCATTGACCTATCAAAGCATTTATTTCAACCTCATTATATACATGATGTTCTATAATTACAACTATTTGTTCAGAATTATTATTCCATTATTCTGTACAACAACTTTGCAACAACTCTAGTTGATGTCTAATATTTGTAAGAGAGTGTTACCTTTGATATTGGCCAAAGTTCAACAAGCCTACTTTTACATAAACAAAGCATAGCGAGCTGTGATGGTTCAAAACTCTCTGGCAATGAAATTGAAGGATACCCTGTCCAATCAATGAACCGCAGGCTGGAAGGAAGATAAGTGATAGTGCAGTTTGTGCTAAAAGCTCCATCACCAACTATGAGTATTTTTAAGCTTTGCATCTTCTTGAAAATATTGCTATAATTGACAAGATCATCTTCAAAATAGTAATCTTCTGGGATACATAGGCTTTCCACCTTTTCTGTTATCTGTAAAGAATGAATCATATATTTAATGGCTAAAAAATAAAAATGAAACAAAAAAAATTAACTATGAGCTTACGAAATTATTAATTACAGTAAATATTGCTTACCAACTTTCCAGTAAAAAGGTCACAAACTTCCTCGGGAAGCCATATTCTGCTGTTAGAATACTCTTCCCGTATGACATTTTCTCCCATTTCTCTTATCATATTATGCATCACAATACTATTATTCAGGTCGATTGATAACAGAGATTTTTCGATAAGGTAATCTATTAGAAAACCACGACTCACATCTCTCCGTTCTTGTTCCACACAAATATCAAAATAATATCTATTCAAACATGCAATATCTAGAAATGCAATATCTAGAAATAATTCCTTCTCATCTTTGTCCAGACCATCAAAACTAAGCCTAAGCTTTCCTAGAATATCCTTGAGAGGGATTCTCTTCAGCCGATCAATTATGTGTCTCCAGTGCTTTTTGTCTCGTCTGTAAAATGAAGAACCCAAAACTTTAAGAGCTAAAGGGAGTCCACCAGCATGCTTCACCACTTGTCTTGAAAGTTCCATAAAATCTTCTTTTGGTGATTTTTCTCTAAAAGCATGTCTACTGAACAATTCAAGTGCTTCATCCTCAGATAATAGTTGGACTTCATACACGTTATCCCCGACGTGACTGATTAACAGGTGCTTGTCTCTTGCTGTTAAAATAATTCTGCTACCCATTCCAAACCACCTTGTCCCTCCAAATAAAAATTCCAACTGTTCTCGGTGGTTTACATCATCGAGGATGAACAGCACTTTCTTCTGGCAAAGCATCTTCTTTAAAATATTCATCCCTTCATGTTTACTAGTTAGAGGCATTTCTTTTCCCAAGAGCTTGAAAATGACGTTTTGTTGTAGGCGTGTTAGTCCATTATTCTGACAAAATGTTCCAACATCCTCAAGAAAACAATCAGCTTCAAATAGATGGCGGTATCTTTGATGTAGAATATTTGCAATTTCTGTTTTGCCGATGCCGCCCATACCCCAAATACCAATAGAGCGAACATCATTTGATTCCATATCTAATAATGAGGTTACTTTCTCAACCTGAGATTTCATACCCACTAAGTTTTCCGGGAAAGGTGAAATAATTTGAAGTGACTTAGGAAATATGTCATCAACTAGTTTCTTGACGCACTCAGCCTCATCCCTACATTATAGTGGAAAATAATCTCAGAGTAAATAAATAGAAAAGCAAAGACTTGTCATAGACTAATATCTAAAACAAACACATAATAATGTTTATTATGAATTATAACATTTTTAAATCTAATTACATCATCAAACAATCATATATGTCTCTGTTTTCCTTTTTCGGTAAAAGTATAGCTGATGATTGTGTGGACTTGTAGCTAAAAGTTTGGTCCTTTTCGCTCTTGATAAAGAGAAACCGGAAAAAAAGAAGAAAGCTTACTTGAAATTTAGTAAATGATAGCCTGATATTTTCCCTGCCTCCACAAATGCATCCCTCCATCTTTGAACCTTCTCCATATCATCTTTGTAGTTTACCTCGTGTTGGGAAAATGAATCAGCAAAAGGGGGATTTTGATGGCGTACATCTGATGGACTCACATCATAGAAGACTGGAATCACAATCTGCTCCAATTCCTTTTTACACTTTATGATGTGTGCAAGCTCCTCTAAGCACCATCTTGAGGATGCATAGCTTTTTGAAAATATTACGACAGCGAATCTGGCCTCTTCTATGGCTTTTAAAAGTTCAGCAGAAATTGATTTTCCTGCTTCCAACCGTTCATCGTCTTTGAAAGCGTGGATTCCTCTCTGTTCCAAAGCATTATAGAGATGACTCACAAAGGTTCTACGCGTATCTTCACCTCTAAAACTGAAAAAGATATCGTACTTGCAAACTTTGGAAGAAGAAGCATGAGACATTGTTGAAGAGTATTGCTAAAGACTAACAGGCAAGTTCTCAGCTTTGGGTGTATATTTGTTGTGCTGCTTAATAAAGAGAAATATTTGAAGCCTAACTGGCAAAATTATTTCTCAGCTATGTGAATGCAGAATTTGGTCTAATTTATCATTAATAATGTCCTTATATTTTAAGTCAATGACTGATATGAAGTTTTCTTAGCACCACATATTTGTAGTTACATACATTTTTCCACACTGTCTCTGCAACATGCATTATTGTGAATGGGTCCAACTTCTTATGAAAGGCCCCATCAACAAACACAAAGAAAAAGAAAGTTTACTTACTAGTTCTTTTTAGATCATGCTCTCATATTAGCAAATTCATCCCTCCATCTTTGAATCTTCTCAGTACCTTCTTTGAATTATTCCTCTTGAGAAAATGACAACCAATGGTGACTCACATCAATTGTTCTTTTCTTATAATAGTTAGTATCCAAGTCAGCTTGAGCACACCTCAACAAACTCCACAAGCCGCCTCATAATCCCATCTTTTATGTTGCTAAATCAATTAATACGTTTACTAATAATCTTCTAAAAACAACTATATTTTCCATTCACCCAGAGGATATTTGCCAGCTCCCACCAACAACAAGTACCAGATAACTCTGTCCACCATGGCTAGGGCTAGGATAGACAGGAAGAATCACCTAATGTTTTTGTCTCCGTTGGAAGTTGAACCTGAGACCTCATGTCTCTCAACCACTTCATTGACCATTATGCCACACCTTTTATGGGAACTTCTTAACATCTTCCTATTTCAACTCATAAAATTGTATCCTAGGTATTCATTATTGTGAGAAATTGAAGTCATTACATTTTTACTACTTAAAACACTTCATTGTAATATGGTCGAAATTAACCCCAAGTTTCGACATAAGAAGAGATGCAATACGAGGACTTTCAAGGGGTCGGTCACCCATCAAATGGGTCCAACCTCTAATGAAGTTCACATGCAGGATCATTGTTCAAAGGGGACCAACTTCTTAGAAATTTCCAGCAAATTTATTGTGTTCACAAAGAGTAAAGACTTTACCTTTTTTTCATTCTCTATAGGAAACTTGTTATCATCTTCCTAATTCATGGCATAAAAATGTACCTTTTTTCAGTATTGCACTGACAAATTAAACAAATGAACAGCAAATTGATACCTTTCTGTAAATTGATATAAATTCGTTGCCCTAACTGAGAAATTGAAGAAAAATTTCGTAACAATTTAGAAGAAAACACACAAAAAGCAGAAAAGAAAGACCAACCTCAAAGATATATTGATCCAACCACACTTAAAAAGCCAACTGTTGAGGTATATAAGAGAAGTTCCATTGAGCAAAATTTTCAAAAGGATGGCAACATTTGAATGGAGGAGATCATGTCAATAAGGCCTTCTTCTTAAAAAAATAAATAAATGAGAAAATACATAAAAATACTCCGAACTATTTACCCCTAATCTTTTTTCAAGTAAATTAAAATACACCCTAATATTGTATTACCAGTCTCACAACGGCAAGTGCATTCCACATGCGCCATTCCATTGACATGTCAGTACCACATCAGCGTCACATTAAACATTATTTAAATTTTGATTTTTAATTCTTTTTGCTTCTTTTTATTTATTCACAATTTTAGAAAGTAAAAATAATCTCAAAAAATAAGAATTAATCCATGATTATAAGAAAAATAATCTCAAAAAAGAACAAATTTTCAGTTGAAAAAGATTCAAAATCTCAAAATCACTTTCACAAAAACACATTCAATTTTTAAGACACATAATCAAAACAAATAAATAATAACAACTGAAAAAATTAACTTGAGATGAAAAAATTGTAGATTTTCATTATAAAGATCTTCAAGTTCATTACATTCAAATCTTGCATAAATACTAATTTCAATTTGAAGCAAGAACAAATTCATGGCTTTTCTATTTTTTCCTTGTTCATCACACACTAATAGAAAGGAAATGAGGATGGAATTGGGGGTCTTGAAGAAGGAAAAAAAAGATGGAAAGTTCAACAAAGAAGAAGAAGAAGAAGAAAAGTGTGAGGCACTGAGGTTTAAAGAGAAAGAAAGAGGGTGGGAGTGGGGGTTCGAAGAAGAAGAAAGAGGTGGTGCAAGTGGTGGTCGAGGGTGGGAGGGGTGGATTGGGTGTGAGGAAGATGAAGGGGAGGGAGGTGGGGCTGGGGTTGGTGGTACTAAGGGCTAGGGGTGGTAGGGTATGAAGAAGAGAAGAAAAGAAAGATTATTGGTTAAAAAGAAAATAATTGGGGCCCATTTATTCTTTTTCTCTTTAATTTTTGGTTTAAACGCGTTGTTACTTTGTTGACTTGCCATGTCAGCAATTTGAGTATATTTTAATTCACTTGAAAAAAGATTAGTGGGTAAATAATTACCCGTAAAGTTAAAGTGTCAAAGTAAGTTTTGCTGCCAAGTTCTGAGAGATTTTATGTTTCCTTCTTTATTATTTATTCAATCGTTGTTGTGTTTTTGTGTTTATTTTTTTCTATTTTCACTATTTATAGTTTTTTTTTTGCCATTTTGGCTCCGGACTTTATATAAGAGTTTTTTCTTCTTACTCCCTATTTCGTACCCATAGTAAAGCCCAATTATTGTGGAGTCATATCATGTAGGGCCCCATTCGAGGGGGGAAACACATGAAAACGCTCTCTACGAATGATTGACAAGTTGACGAAGTTTGTCAGATTTTAACGTTTTCTTTAATAGTGTTATTAGCAATAAGCAAGCTTTTTTTTACTCGTATTGAAGATGAGTTTTTTTTTTTTTTATAATTATCCGTATTGAGTTAAATTAAAAATAAGAAAGCGAATATTTGTGTTAAAATCAAGATAGCCGGGATGATATGAAAAAAACAAAAATACGTGGTGTTATTTAATTTAATTGAATGTTTACGAAAGAAAATTGAAGCACTTTCGTCGGTTATCATCCATGCAAAAAATACATTAAAAAAATCTTCTTCTTTTTTTATAAAAAATCAATGTTCATACATTAATTTTTATCTTTTAAAAAAGGAAAACTAACAAACACGAGTTATATGGACAAACACCAACTAAAAATCGCATACCCTTTCCCATAGGACTCGATTATTTTTAACAAGTATAAATTTTCAAATTAAAAATGTCTCTCCAAATCCAAATAACCTTTTACATATAAACAGACCTTTGCCTCACTCATTGCTTCTTCTTTTCTTTTTTCTATGACCACTATCATCACTCATTGCTTCCTCTTCATACACCAGCCGAATTCCCCAGCAGCATTTCTCAGGCCACAAAATGTGAGAAAACTCCAACATGTAATAATCATTTGGATTCTTCCCTTCTTTATTGCCAGAACCATTCCACAATGTTTCAAATGGTATGTAGATGCAACAAATGAAAGGATCGATGACCTCGAATATTGATGGATGTTGTTATACTTCAAGGAATATTTTCTTTCAGGGTCAGAATTGCAGACCAATGTAGCTTCTAATCTTGTATCCAGTGCAGTAGGACCATAACATATCCAAAAACCCATGAATTTATTGGTATACCAAGATGGGTTCAGATCAATTGATTTATAAAGCGATCATAATCAAACAACTCTGGAATTCTGACTCCGGGAATAGAAATGAGAAACGAATCCCTTTGGTGAAAGTCACACTGCATGCAATAGAATAGAAATTATTATTACTACTAGAAATCAATTTGACGAGAATATTCAACATTCATATATGAGATAAAAACCTGGACGCATGCCCTGAGAAAATGCTGTACGAACACATTAACTTGTTCACTTGAGACAGCTCCACAGTCGGATATTTCGAGTCTATACAGCTTAAGACAATTAATTACGAGATCTTTGATGCTCTTCAAGGCTAAATGAAAATCTGCAAATAGCTCCGTTAAATTTGGGGGTAGCTCTCCAGGCAGTTCATTAAGATTCTGACAGAATTGTACGTCCAGAGACCGAAGGTGTAAGAGTCCTTTAAAGCTTTTTGGTAAACAAGAAATATTGCTTCCACTTACATCCAACTTTTCCAAAGAGTGCAAAGATCCTAAATCCTCAAGCATATCTAACTCTTGCAAATCACAAATGTTTTCTGGAAGCTTCTCTAGCTTTTTGCACATCTGATGGCGCACATCTGATGGACTCACATCATAGAAGACTGGAATCAAAATCTGCTCCAATTCCTTTTTACAATTGATGATGTGTGCAAGCTCCTCTAAGCACCATCTTGAGGTTGCATAGCTTTTTGAAAATATTACAACAGCGAATCTGGCCTCTTCTATGGCTTTTAAAAGTTCAGCAGAAATTGATTTTCCTGCTTCCAACCGCTCATCATCTTTGAAAGCATGGATTCCTCTCTGTTCCAAAGCATTATAGAGATGACTCACAAAGGTTCTACGCATATCTTCACCTCTAAAACTCAAAAAGATATCGTACTTGCAAACTTTGGAAGAAGAAGCATGAGACATTGTTGAAGAGTATTGCTAAAGCCTTAGTGAAAGAAAAAGTGGTACTTTTCAAAAGAAGAATAGAAAGTGGATTCATTCAGCATTGCTAAATACACAGAAAGTGAATGCAAGTAGTTGAGGAGGGACCATTAATAAATTTTAGAAACTTCATCTACAGCTAGCAGTAGTAATGTATGTGAAAGAGAACTAACATTGGGTGGGCCTTTGCTTGTCAACCACTTTTTTGTGAGGGATGAAGCATTCCATCACAAAACGGGAAAACAAGTTCTACAAGTAACATTCTACGTTGATTGTATCCACCAAAACCTTCAACACACCTCATCTTCATCCCATCCCCACCTCGCATATTATTTGTCTAATGTTTTAAGAATAATATTTCTTGCTTACATATTGAGCATACACACACAAAAAAAAGAAACAAACCACTTATTTTCCTTCATACATAATACATTCTTATCATCTTATTAATATGAATGGGTCCAACATGGAGTTAGGTTAGAGTTGGTCATTGATATCTCACAACACGTAATACATAGTAAAGACTTCAACTTTATCATTAATGCAGTGAGAAATTAAAGATTGAAGAGAGAAGAAAGGGCTAAATGTACGAAAAAGGAGAAAATTCAACAAAATTGATACCCAGTGAGGGAAGGAAACTTCTTCCTTGTTTCTCTTTTGGTTGCCGGCTAAAGCGCTCCTTAACAAAGGCGATTCCATACGAGGGGACTCAAACCCGACACCTCTTAATTAAGAATGAAGGATCACTCCACCTTAACCCTTTTTGGTTCTTCCTTGTTGTCATCAACCCTATACCTTTTCCACCATTCCTGAGAAATTAAAGTGTACAACAACATACTCGGTGTGAAATATCACAGGTGGAGTTTTGAGAAAATAAAATGTACACAAATCTTATCATTATCTAGAGGTAAAAAGGTTATTTTTTATTTCCATCTGTCCAGAGTTGAATAACCATATACATTAAAGTCCGACTAGTTCGAATTTCAGATGCATAAAACCCCATTTGAGAGGAAAGAAATCAAATTTTTTCCATACCAAAAGGCTCGAATCCGAGACCAAAGAGATATAAATTTTTCCCTCTTTTACTTTGGTGGAAAAGCTTCCCAGAGAAAAAAAAGAAGCTTTTGAGCAGAAGCAAAACTTATTATTTTCGAGAGGCTGAAAAAATATATATATTTTTTAAAAAGGTACATTCGTAAATGTTTTTTTAGAAATTTTGATCAAAAATTATTGCTGCTTATAATTGTTTTTCAAATTGATTAGTCATTTTAAAATTAATTAGTTGAACATAAGTGGTTTTTCATCAAAAGTAGTAGTACTGTAGTTTATTTTTTTGGAAATACTTTTCAAAATAAATTGATTTTCTTCAAAAAAAACTATAGTTCTTCAATTTTAAAAGTCTGAAATTCTTGTTTATGATAAATTCAAAGTTAATAATTAATAGTCCTTTTATTTACTTTTATTTGTCATAGTTGGATTAAAAGAAAAGAGAAGATCAATATTTAAAGGTCCAAATGAAAATTAGTTTCTTGATTTATACTCACAAGCTGATAACAAGCCTAAATAATCTTTAATTGAACTTAATAATTAAATTAGTTTTTTATTTTTAAAACAAGAAGATAGAGAGACTAGAGAAAAATTTGAGCCACCTTCGAAATTGATTGTTATACATACATTTTCATTCGTAATCAAAGTTTATATATATCTTTAATAGACAATATTCTAGCAACTCGTGTACATGATTCATTTGATTTGTTTACCTTGTATTCTTTCATCGAGATTTAATCCAAACTGCGATGGTATTTTCTTGTTCCTGAATGGGTCTGTTTCATCTTTTTAGGTTTATGTTGTACTTCAGGTAAAGATCCGCCCGATTTGAATTTGTACATATAGGACATATGCTCCCATTACCATTTCTTGATTTTCCATGATTTTTAATCACATTTTAACGGTTTTATTGATAATCAAATTAATAACGATCAATAATCGATAAGTCAATATCTTAACAATTCTATAGTGATTTAGCATGTCTACAAACGATAATCAATAAGTTAAACTAATCAACTTCAAAATCAAACCGAATCGATCGATACACAACCCTGCCTTGAATAGAAATTCAATACAAAATATCAAATAAAAAAATCGAGCCACTAGAATAAAAAGATAAAGAATAAAAGAGGGTTTTTTTGAATAATAAAACAACTCCCATTTTCAGAGTATCAATACGAATCAATTAGAGAACAAAAAGGTGGGAGCTCGGATTCCTCCGAAGTTTTTTTAAAAAAAAGGGGAAAAAAGAAGAGAAAAAAAGAAGAAAGAAGCAAAACGATAATAAACAGAATCGAAAAGAATCTTTTGTGGCTGAAATTTGGCTAGCACCTGGAATCGTTTCATTTCTGAGCTAGCAATGGAAGCTCTACTGGGAAGTTCGCCTTCTCCTTCTCCTTCTCTTTCATTCACCATCACCAGAAGAAACCCCATTACTTCTTTTAAGGTATGTGAAAAATGGGAAAGTTAAGTTTTTTATGGTTCTTGAAATAACCCCATTTGGTCAAGTGGGCAAATTCCATTTCATATTACTATTTGTTCTTTTAGTTGGTGTTCTTGATTTCATTAATTTATCAATGTTTCAATTTATGTGACGGTGTTTGACTGGAAATTGATATTGAAATAGTACTAATTTGATTTTGTGTTGTATGAATGGTAGTAGAAGAAACCCCATTATTTCTTTTAAGGTATGTGAAAATTGGAAAGTTAAGTCTTTTTATGGTTCTTCAAGTAACCCATTTGTTCTAGTGGACAAATTCCCTAATATTTCATATTACTGTTTGTTCTTTTAGTTGGTGTTCTTGATTTCGTTAATTTCCCTCAATTTCAATGTGAAAATACTGCTAATTTGACTGGAAATAGAGTTTGAAAATACTGCTAATTTTTTTTTGTGTAGTATGAATGGTAGTGGAAGCTAACAACAACATACCTAGTGTAGTCTATGTGGAGGGTAGAGTGTAAGTAGACATTACCCCTACCTAGTGACGGAGTCAGAATTTTCATCGAGGGGTTCAACATCTACTTTATATACATAAAAGATAATTTTAACCAACAATATAATTCTCCATAGAAGGGGGTTCGGATGAACCCCTTGATCCTACTTGGCTCCGCTTCTTGTCCCTACCTCAGAGGTAGAGAGGTTGTTTCCGATAAACTCTTGCCTCAAGATGAATGGTAGTAGAAGAAGATATAAATTAGCTTGATAGTTTTAGTTTTCTTAGAAAAGTATTGAAGTGTAAAATGAGTTTAGGAGGGGAGAAAATCTAGTGATTTTTGTACATCTGCCTAAGTCTGGAGGAATAATGAAGGTTTGCACTAGCTGGCCTGGATTAAATAATTTTAATGACTGAATTGTGTGTAATATTTTTGAAATTCTTGAAAGGGGAAGACTGTAGTATAGATTAAAACTAAGAGAGTTCATTATTTAAGCAGTCTGTTTTCTCAATTGTGAAACATTGAAGTAACATGGAAATCCTTGTTTAAACTTATATAGTAAACAAGTACACTTATGTATTTTAAAGTTTTCCCAGAGCCAGTAATTCGAGTTAAGATTGAAACTTTACATTGTTTTTCATTTGATGATAATCTCACGATATTTAGTGTGTCAAATGAAAGAAAAGGTAGAAATTGAAAGATCCGAACATTATTTGAGAGGCTTGAATCAGAGAGGTAAAAAATTGATTCCTTCATTCAGTCATATGAATCAGTCTGTTGTGAACCAAACTGACCCCATAAGGGCCTACGGGCTATTAGAGAGTTTTATTTGGGATCCAGGCCCATTTACACTTTGTTAAAAAGGACTAGGAATTAGAAGAACGGTTATGGAAAATTATTATGTCAAGCTTTGGCTTTCTATCCTCTCATCTCCTTTCTATGGTCTTGTATCTCATCCCTTTCTGGTTACTTCTTTCTCGGTTAATCTCTCCTTAGTTAGTGTATTATTATTTTGTTGTGCCTATCCTACATTGTAACTTGTATTCAGTGATTAATATATATAACTGTGTTTCTGTTGGAATCGAGTTTGTTTCATTGAGTCAGTCTCAAACTAGTTGGTGCAGGCGACATGGTTCCGCTATATCCATTCCACTCTATTCATGCTATTTCATTGCAGTTCTGGTACATAATTGGTCTTTTAAGACCAAAATCATATATTTTAAACATTATGATATTAAGGGAGAAGGTCCAAATTTCTCCCTGTACTATTTAAATCGTTCAATGTTGCCTCTGTCACACTTTTGGTTCATTCATATTCTTGTTGTTAACAAATCGTCACGTATTTTTCCTTTTTGTTAACGGAACTCCAGTGTAATATTGGTGGACTCTATGTGTCCAAATTCTTTGAGAAAAAATGTCCAAATTTACCCATCAACCTTACTTTGGAGCTTCAGTAGTAGGGGTCAAGGGTAAAAATAAGACTGCTTCACAGCGGAGGGGGTAATATTAGACCAAAAGCTTATGGAGGCCAAAGTTGCTCAATTTTAGATAGTACATGGGAAAATTTAACCCTTTTCCTTTTAGTTAATTTTAAAGGAGCTGGATGGCTGAGAAATGATTATGAGGAATTATTCCTGCTTGTATGTGGTGGACCATCTAGAAGGAACAAAATCAACATATTCATTCAGTAAACAAGAAGTAAAGCATCTCCAAACTAAAAGCTACTTGTCTTTGTGTTTTTGGTGCAAAAGTGCAAAATTTACACGATATAGATAGTCAAGTAGACTTCATCAATAAACATTCTGCAGGGGCTTTCATGGAATTCTTTGTACAGCAGAAGTAATAACTCTCGAGTATATCATCCTATATTGCGTCTGAAAAGAAGTGGCAATGACAACTCTGGAAGTTGCTCTCCTTTATGCTACATTGAGCAAATGTACAGAAACAGAATGTTTTCTCAGCCAATCCGGAGGTGTAGAAAAATATTCATAGATAAGCAAAGTTTGCTGGTTATACAAAATGGCTTAGCTTTTCTACCAAGAAAATTCAAAACCAGTCTCCGCAAAACATTAAAGCATTCGGAAGTTTTTAAGAGTATAGTACCTGAGATA